TACATTACTAAAGTCTAGACTCTATTTTCTGCACCAATTTGGCCCGAGACTTTCTCCACCCTCTCATTTTTTCACACAAAGGTGTGAAAAAAAACAAGGATCTGTCAGCACCTTTCATGCTCTTTTCTCCTCCCTTAGCTGGAAAAGCAGCGGGAAAGCTTGCCGGACAATAATATCAATGGCAAGCTGTGTGGTTGTAGCTGGTTAGATTCTAGCAATTACCCTAAACGAACACTCTGGGGTCCCCAAGCCTTGGCTCTTGCCAACCTTTGGCTAATACTTCCCAGAATTAGGTAAACAGAATGCGTTCCTCCAGGGAGAGAGAGAGAGAGAGAGAAAGAGAGCATTCCATTCCAACAATCTATCTGTGAGATTTCCATGTGTAGGTGGGATGCCTGGAATTCTCAGCTCGGTTTGGGGACTCTTAAGCAACGGTGATGAGTTTCTGCATGTGTCAGACACGTGGCTGCCAAAGTAAAAAAATAATTTAAAAATTCTTCTCCCCCCGCACGACATTTAGCATAAGTTGTCTAGAGATTGAGTTTTAAGATCTCCGTTTGGTGAGAAGAATCTTCTCTGGTCGGTGCTAAAAGGTGCCCTGTGGTCAGTGGTTGCTGACCAGTTGGTTCAGCCTCAATCTGTCAATGCTACATGTGTATGTCAGCAAATGGCAACAAGGCTGCTCGTAAACAATCAGTAAACGCTGGAACCAATTCATTTGTAATGGTGCTGGTTTTAAACGAAGGCTGTTACTTACACCAAAGTGTCTACTGTTTTATGGCTTTTATTTGATTAAAAGCTTGTTACTTGCCATTATCAAGGTACTTAGGAGTCAATAGGCTCTTTGTAGTGTTGGGAGGCTCTGGCAGAAGGTGGAAATGCATGTGAGATTGGAGTCTTAACAACTGCCTGGGGTGTTTTAATTCACAAACACTAAAAATAGTAGCCTGGAACTGCCTGCACGCAGTGAGTGGTTGTAGATCTGAAAGTCCTAATGGAGTGTCGACGCTGGTGCTATCTTTCTACTCAAATTAATTCCAGTTTCATTGTCTCTTACAGATCCCATTTTCTTTTCTATAGGGAAAAGTAAAAGTTAGTAACTTCTGAACTGTAAACTATTTTTATGTTCCATCGTCTCCAGAAGCAACCAGTAATGCACACCAGTCAGCATTACCTGCTTCCCCCCGTTTGTGGGACGCTGCTGTGCGCAATTGGCTGCCACGTTTCACCCACAAAATATACAGTCCATTCACTTTACAGTCTATTCTGTGAAGCGCTTTGAGACGACTCAAAAACGTGATAATGTGCTGTACCAAATACAAGGATTATTATTTTATTATTATTATATCCAACACAGCACAACTTGGAGTCAGATCAGCTGGTCAGCTACCGTCTTTAGATAAATAACCATGGAAGATAATAGCCCTGGAAACTTCAAAGCAGAATACTAATCATCCTTACAACTGATATCGCGCTTTTCTTATCAGGGTGTCTCAAAGTGCTTCACAGAAGAGGAGTGACTGTATCTTGTGGCTGAACACAGCAACCAAGTGGACACAGCAATGTCCCACAAATCGCCTTGGAGTGAATAATCAGTATTATTTGGGGAATTGGCCATGACGTTACCGTGAGAAATTCCATTTTCTTTTAGAATATTGCCTTGGGATCGTTAATGTCCATCAGAACAGGCAGAAGGAATCTGGGATTAACATCTCAACAGAATTATGTCATCTCCGACAACAAGGCCCCTCCCAACACTGTGTTAGAGTGTTAGCCCCGACTATGAGGACTTTGCTGTGTGATAATTGGCTGTCCTGTTTACCTGCAAAATAAACAGCTACTACACTTTGTCTAAGGCTTGAACCCACAACCTTCTGACTCAGAGGTGAGAATGCTGCTAACCGAGCCAGGCCATAGCACTTTTTCACATCACTGAGACGTCTCAAAGCGCTTTACTTACTGTAAGGTGGTGTGACGGTGGTGAACTCAGCCAATAATGTCACAATAATGTCCCATAATCAGCCACAAAGTGACCAAGCAATTTTTTTATTTTGGCGGAATTTGGCCAAGACACTGGAAGAACTCTCGTCTCTTTTCAAATAGAACGTTAAAGATGGGACCTGGTCAGGCCAATAGAACCTGGGGTTAACCAAAGGACGGCACTCCAATACCGCTGTCACTATCGACCATATCAGTTCCAAATCCCAATGTGGGGATTAAACCCACAATCTTTTAACTCTGAGGGGTGAATGCTACAGAATCTGCATTTCTTGTATCACCTTGTATTCACCTTCAAAATGCACAGACACTACACTTTACAGATAATCATATGAAGCACTTTGAGATGTCCTCCTGAATAAAACTCTCACTAAATAATAATAATCCTTGCATTTGATATAGTGTTTTTCTCAACGTCTCAAAGCGCTTCACAGAATATACTATAAAATGAATTGACTGTATTTTGTGGGTGAAACACAGCAGCCATTTGCGCACAACAGTGTCCCACAAACAGTCGTGGATTGAGTGACCAAATTATTATTTTTAAGGATTATTATCCCCAGTAAAATGATCCGCCAATCAACTGGCAACCGCGTTCCTACTTACTGCTGGTTAACATAGGTGTGTGGAGCGAGGAAACTTTCCTAACATTTCGCCCTGCAGGAATAGAGCCCAGGTCTCTTGCTTGCGAGGTGAGTGCTCTAACCACTGAGCTATAGGGCTCCATGCGCTACAGCAAATGTAAAGATTAATGTAAAAGTGCTACACATTTACAAAAATACATAATACGGTATGGGAGCTGACAAAACAGCTTCCAGTATTTGGGGAAGTGGGGCTAACATGACAGCTTTGTATATTAGTTCGGGGTGGGGCTGAAATAATAGCTTCCAGTTTTTTGGGGGCTGACAAATTATAGCCTCCAGTATAGAGGAGGGGGAAACTTACATAACAATAATAATCCTTGCATTTCATTATCACATCATCAAAACATCAAAAGCCTTTCATGGGATATACTTAAAATGGTACGACTGCATGCATTTTGTGGGTGAGCACGGCAGCTGATTTGGGTACAGCAATGTCCCACAAACTACCATGGGGGTGAGTGACCAATTTTACTGGGGTGGGGGGGGTGCATGTTTGGCCAAGGCACCAGGAGGATTTCTCTATTCTTTTCAATTAGTGCCTTTGGATCTTTAATGTCCTCAACACGATCTTGATTTAAAGTTCATCTAAACAGACGATGATGATGCAGCATAACCCCAGCACTGCATTGCAATGTCAACTTACATGTATGAGTTCCAAGACCCGATGTAGAGTTTGAAACCACAGGCTTCTGACTCTGAGGCAGGAGTGTAAGTAACTGAGCCAGACTGACATATCACAGCCTTCAGTAATAATAAACTTTGCGTTTGGTACAGCGCCTTATCACATCTTCGAGACATCTCAAAGCGCTTCACGGGATATACTGTAAAGTGAATTGACTGTATATTTTGTGAGCGAAACATGGCAGCAGTGTCCCACAAACAGTCATGGATAGAATGACCACATTATTATTTATTTGTCAGTACCAATATTGGGGCAGGGGAGAAAGAGGGTTTATGACACATCAAGCTTCAGTATTGGAGGGTATGTGGCTGGTGGGGTAATAGCTGATGGAGCCATTACCCCCGCGCCCTTCCCCCACACAAAGTGATGTCTAACAGAGAGAGTTGAATTGCTGTCTAACTTTCTAGAAGCAGTGGATAAAAGCTGAATAATCTTTTCTGATAAAGATGTACAAGACAACAACTTGCACTTATATAGCGCCCTCCACACAAGGTAGCGTCTCAGAGCACTTAACAGTGCTGATTCCGAGCTGGGGGGTGGGGGTGGGAAGGTGGCTGTAAGCACAGTCAAAAAGGAAGGTTTTCAGGAGGGACTTGAAAGAGGGGAGAGAGAGGGCAAGGCGGTGAGGTTGAGGGAGAGTGTTCCAGAATTTCGGGACTTAGTGACTGAAAGCGCGACCTCCAATGGTGGACTAGATAAAACAGGATCACTATTATTGCAGACCAGGGAGAGAGATAAAAAAACACATTATACTGTGCGTTTAGGCAGAATTCGAGCAGTCCCACAGTACACCAAAGTGCGATACAATCCCAGCTTCTGGCAATGGACTGACTGGCTTCCTGCAACAACAAAATTACATTTGTATAGCGCCTTTCACATCGGGAGGACTTCCCAAGGCGCTGGACAGACAGAGTTATGGACCCGAGCTGGGGGTCAGTGTGGGGGAGGTGGGAGGGCGGGGGGGGAGCAGGGAGATCAAAAGCATGGTCGAAGACGAGGGTCTTGAGGTGGGTCTTGAAGGTGGAGAGACGAGAGGACTGTGGGATGGAATTCCTGAGGGTGGGTACAGAGTGGCGGGGGACATGAAGCAGGCCGGTTAGCGGAGGGAGTGAGCAGGGTGGTAGGGGGTTAGGTTGGAGAGGTAGGGGGTAGCAAGACCATGGAGGGCTTTGAAGGTGAGGATCAAGATCTTGAACTGCATTCTGTGTGATGGGAAGCCAGTGGAGTTGGGCGAGTATGGGGACCTCCAGTTGTCAACAATGTTCCCACCTGGAAATACTGGGGAGCAGTCAATAATGCCAACTGGTAGCCATACTATAACCGGTTATAAAACCGAATCCTACTGTATAATAACAAGCAGGAACTGCCTGAACTGACCAATAATTGTGTTCCTTTAACGGCTGCGAAAGCGCACGTCTCTGAGACGCTACCCTACATGAGGAGAGCTATATAAATGCAAGCTGTTGCTGTTGTCTCCACTTTATCAATTGATAAGAAAATCCACGATATTGAGATTACCTGTGCAGACGCAGCACAGACAAAACCGTTCTACATTTCAAATGACAGGATCCCATGTGGGATGTCAGGCAATTTCTCTGAAGACGGTCAACATAAATATTCTAAACACAAGTAAAATACATCAAGCTTTCAAGCAGAATTGGGACACGATACATTTTTCATAATATTAAAACTTTATTTAAAACCAGGTTTTGCTAAATCATATGGTTGATGGGTCAAATTCCCACCCAGGAACTTCTAATGAATTTATAAATAGAATTAATCAAATACAGTACTATAGCAGGTCCTGTTCATATTTTCCTAAAGTTCTGGCTCCACGGTACAGATTTCCAGCAAGTTTAAGCGGAAGAAAATAATACTCTTAATGAAAAACATAATACAAGTTACTACAAAAATAACAGCATTTTCCAATTGGAAAAAAAAACTGCTAATTTATGCAAAATTCTTTAAATGGATTAAAAAAACTAAAAAAAAATTGGCAACTCCTGAAGTTTTCACTGAAGAATGTGAAAAAACAAAATTCAGATTTCTTTAGTTTCACATTGTAGCATTTACAAGGTATCCGTGTATCCTTACAAATGGCTGTTTACAATCAGAACAAAACCTCTCTCCTGGGCACAGAACTCTTGATTAGCACACGGACAGCTAGCTCACAGTAGCACCCTTTAATCGATTGTGCAGCAGTACTTCAAAAGCACTAACAATTCCATGTAGAATATTAAAGGATGAGTAGCCTCAAACGAGTCAAATTGTGGATAGTCATTCACTCACACATACAACCATTTTCCTCCCCAGGTCACTTTGCTTGCCACAAAGTCAATAAAACAATTGAGCCCATCATGACTAGAAATGAATAACCAGTTATTATTTGATTCAAACCTGCTTCAGGCAACAGTTTTAAGAGATTTTTAGCACATGCATCAGGCTTAGAGAGAGATACTGGATCTCTAAGAGTTGAGATGTTTATGATAATGTTGCCTCCGATTAACAGCGGCCATTTTAAAAGCAAAATGTTCATGGGTCTTGAATTAAAATCCAGTGTTTCTAATCCAGAAGGTACATCTGAATTATCTGACTCTTCTTTCAGTATGTTTGGCTGCCAATTCAATCTACAACATGGGAGCCCCACTGAGTCATCGGGTCAGCCAATCCAACAATTCAGACACTAAAGATGAACACCAGCATTTTTTAAGAAAAACTTTCCAATTATTATAAGAAAACTATTAAAGGTCATCAGACATTACATGTTAATTATGTTTGGGATTTTAGATTTTGATCAAATGCGATGCTACCAAAACAACCACAAACTGAGAACCCCAGCCAGCAGCACAGGAATTCTCCTCGCTAAATAGAAAACCTGCGCTTACAGCAAATCTTAAAAGAGGCATAACAGCTTCTGCCTAGTGTAGACGGGTGTCATTTTACACTTTGAACTAGAAATAAATTGTGGTGTAAATACAACGACCTCAATGTACAAAGACGCACTGGGAGACCAGCTTGCAATTGTCGACCTGTTGCTGATTTAACTGGGCCATTGGGGAAGATGGAAGGATAAGCCACCACAGCTTCATCTGCTTAAATTCTAACAACTTGAAGCAGTAACATTACCAGAGAGGTGGGACTAGAAATGAAGAAATAAAACACTAGTAGGACTAAACGGTATCGGGCTAAAGAATCACACAGTTTCCAAAGTTTAAGTCTTATGCTTATACTCCTTATTCCAATGTACTATTTTCATTATGCACTGTATAGTTTCAGTCAGGAGAGTCCACTGAGCTGGACAGCACCTAAAGTAATATAATGTGTTTATAACCTGCAGCCTGAAGTGGTGTGCATTACACAAATACAGTATAACTGGGGAGCCCAGTTATACTGACAGCCAGGGCTCCCCAGTTATACTGTCAACTAATTTCAACACAACTTTGGTTTTATGTAGAGAATAAATAAACATTGTAAAAGTAAAAAAGCTAAAAACAATTTTTTAAATTGTTTTAGCTGTTTTTTTAAAATTATACTTGGCACCATTTACTGCTGATAAACTCTCGAGAGGCCAGAGATGGATCAATGCAGTTATTGAGCCAGGTAGCAAGAAAAAGTACTATTAATCAAACTGTTAGTATTTTCCCCAGACCCAGAGAGAAACCTGTTCTGTGCGATATATTCTTCATCTCAAACCAAACCCACAACAAGTTGGTGCCCACCAGAGGCAGCTCAAAACTTCCTCTCCAGACACAACTCTAATCTGGAAGTGGAAAAAAAATCTATAATTGCACTGCTGGGTACTTTTTACAGATCAAATGTAGCACTAAGATTTTACCCCACCATTATTGTTTGAAAGAGATCCAAGGTGACAACATCTACTGTGTATATCAATTCAGGTTTCACCTCTGCTCAGCCTCCCAGCATCACCAGCACCTGTTTTATTAAAACAAAGCTTGAATGCGATAACTCTCCCTTACCACTGATTTATTTAAAAAAAGGGGACAAGAAAACTGTCAAGACTAGGAGATCTGAGCTAGCTTAAGTAGAGTCAAAACAATGAATACTTTGGTCATTTTTAGCTCCAACTCATTAAACATCGCAAGTGAATAGACACGAGTTGATGGATACCAATATCAGTTATTCCAATTGTTACACACCCAAGTTCACAGTCTGCAAAACCTTCAACATTTCATCTTTTAAAAATAGACAATAAACAATTGCATTTCTGATTGAAGAATTTGGTCACTACCATTGCCTTTGGGCAAACTAACCAGCGACTGGCACCATGGGAATGATTAAACGCTGAAGTGGCAGGAAACATCATGGCTCAAGAGATGCCCAAAGCCTGGGTGGAGATTTGTATCAACAGCAGGGACTTGGCTTTAATGGGAATAACTAAGCTCTTACACCAGTGTTCAGCACAACCCCCTCTGGAGGTTTGATTTCAATGCATTGAATCTAATATGCAACTTTGGGTTTGCCTTACTAAATACTTATTCCTACTGGTGGTTATAGAAACTGTGGATTAACAACAACGGGTTAAAAACGTCTCACCGTCCCAGCTGTGCTTGACATTAAGCACCAAGTTTTGTCAATGGTATTTAATGTTTACGGTTGTGCCTAGATATTTCATGCTGTGCGCAACTGTCTCAGTTGAGATGTGCAAGGAAACAAAGGAGGTTCCTCTTAGAGAGAGTGCAAAATGTCAGGGCTGACTCAATAGCAGTATTACACACGACAAGAACGCAAATCATTCCTCAACCTATGTGATCCAATGATTCAGTTGATCACATGTGGGCAAAAGGAGTGAGCTCAAGATTTAGTTCAAACCCGAAAAATTGCGTTGTTAAAAGGAATCACCAAACAAGGTACAACACACACTTTTTTTAAGACTGGGGCAGTTGAGGAAATCTTTATGAATTTGTATTCTGAAAGATGTACCAGGAATGTATCTAAAGACTTCTCATTGGTATTGCTCTTCCAGGCTAGTTCCTGCTGTAAAAATAAAACCTAGTGTTAACAGCATATTCTAATAAACATGTATCCTGGCAAATGTTCATAGTAAACAAGGATTTTAAAAAAAGCCTACTTTGGCTAGTACGTGTCCAGGGTAGTTAGCAGCCACTAGTTGGCAAAACGTTTCTTCAGCGTTGCTACAAGTGACCACTGGATGAGCTGTACTTTCTCATCTGTATCAGTTACAAAGAAGCCCATGAGAATGACGAGACAATTTGCGACAGCCCCAGATGTGCTCAGCGTTGTTGAGAAGGATCTACAGCATCCTAGATGAGAAGATGCTCAGATTTGCCTAGCCTCGTGTCTTTGGGAAAGTAAAGATAGGTTTCAAATACTGTATATTTTGGTGCCCTCCTCCCCCTGCCCCCACTCCCCCCACCACCAAAAATAGTTCCAGGCAGGTTCAGTGTTTAAAGTGAGGTTCCAGGCAGAAAGCAAGAGTTCTTTCAGAGGAAGTAATCAGCCACTGTCTTTTTGGAGGACACCCCTCGTGATTCCTGCGGTGCTGCTTCAAAGATCGTAAATTCTTTCTCCAGATGTTCATCTAGTTCCAGTATCGCGGCCACATTCCCACACCTACAGGAGATGCAATAAAATATTAAAATAATAATAATTTGGTCCCTCAAACCCACGACTGTTTGTGGGACGCTGCTGTGCACAATTGGCTGCCGCGTTTCGTCCACAAATATACAGTCAATTCACTTTACAGTATATTCTGTGAAGTGCTTTGAGACGTCTAGAAGATGTGATAAAGCAAATGCAAGGATCAAATGCAAGGACTGTTATTATATACGTCATGGTTGGATAAATGAAAGACGAAACAAAACAGCTGGATCACATCTAGTTATATTCCTTTTTTCAGGATCAATATTTCGGGTGTTAAATCCAAATACTTAAGCATTAAACTAACAATATTTCCTCAAGTTCTGTTCATGTTTTATAACAAAATGGAAAACACAAACTGCATTTAAATACAGAAACTAATGAAATATAGTTTGGTGTTGCGATCAAGGAAACAGAAGAATCACAGCACAGAACCAATAGAATTGCTCCTTGGAGAGTCAAGAAGCAGGTCTATACCATCAGTGACAAACCACTCTATTTGCATTAAATAGGAATGTAGGAATCCACAGGGACAGAAGACCTTCTAATCAGTTTCAAAGTAGAAAAAAATCAAACAAAATCTATACAACTCCAATGCCTCATATTCAATTTATTTTTCACCAAATACCTATTTCATTTCCTCTTGAATTGACTTTCACAATCAGTCTCGCTGCAGAGATCTTTTTTACATATTTACCATTTTGTATGAAGTAATGAAATCATTACTTCCATTACTTAACCTCTCAAGTTCATGTCACCTTTTTGTAGGATTCAGACCCTGAGTTTGTTTCAGTTTTAAGATAAAAAATGACGAAAGGATCCTCTGCTGGTAACCTGAGTGTTTAACTCTGGTTAATATTCTAATTGTCTCTTGATGAATCCTCTTTCTCCTAGCATGTGACCAGAATTGAATGCAGTACTTCAGTTGTGGCCAGACCAATGCTCTCTGAACAAGGCCAGCATCACTTTCTGCGAAGTATAAAAAACAGGTAGCAAACCAAACGGTCCCTGTCTGCGCAGAAATCTTCTACACTTTCATGTTCATGCTCTATACCCCAAGATTCAGGAATGACAGCTTCTGCTGGTTTTAATCTTGAAATGAGATACAACTTTGAAAAAGTCATTACCAGAACTATAGCTAGTGTAACTTTCCTATATTTTCTTACAAGGCTTCCCATTGTTACAATCTAAATATTGTATACGTAATTAAAAGTAAATAATGGGAAAAGCCTCCGACAGGTAAAGGCAAACTGTTAATTGTGTACACAGCATTTACCTATAACAATAGTTGGGTGCTGACCACACTGTTAGAACAGTTTCATTAAAGTGCCACTTGTAGCCTTCCATCACCAGCTGGTGAGCACGGCAGATCAGGTCTATATTGTTAGCTGCATTGAAGTGGGCCACAACATCACTGCCGAAAAGGTAGCCAGCTCCACGCGGGCTGATGCCCCAGCCGGTAGTATCTGAAAGGGATTCAAGATATACTGTAAATTTTAGGCCTTCAAACAAGTTTCATTACGTTTGTATGATACAGTGTCACAATGCTACAATGTGCTTTTTCTTAGTGAAAGTTTAGTTACAACACAACAACAACAAATTACATTTACACAGTGCCTTTCAACTCGGGAGGGCATCCCAAGGTGCTGGACAGTCAGGGCCTTGGACCCGAGCAGGGGGTTGGGATCAAGAGGGGTGGCAGGCGGGGAGGGTAGGGGAAGGAGGGAGGCTGAAGGCGCGGTCAAAAAAGAGGATCTTTGAGACACGCTTTGAAGGAGGCAAGGGAGGGAGCAAGATGGAGGGATTGTGGGTTGGAATTCCAAGGATGGGAGCAGAGAAGCTCTTTAGCCTGACTGTGGAGCCTACTCATTGTGTCCACACATCTGGCTCACTGTACATTAGCTGGCTTTTGCGCTAAAACGGACAACTTCTAGTTTAAATGCCACCAACGTGCACGTCTGCGTACAGCAGGATGTGGAGTCGGGAGGAACCTGAAGTCATCTTGTTTTTTCAGTGGCACTGGCTGGCACACGAGGAACGAGCTGGCCAGCGGCGGGCATGTGCAGCGAAACTGGAATATTGAGCCCGACGATTTTTTGGATCCGAATCACCTGTTATAACAAGTCTCCACTGTTTGCGGCAGCACAAGGAGCAGTGGTATTTGAGTGGGATGATTGGTGTTGACGCTGCACCCTCAAGTGGCTGTTACAGGAAATGCACCAACAAGTGATCAGTGTCAAGCCCCTACCTTCTGGGTCTGACCACAAAAGGTCACACATTGGGCCGTCGTGTGGTACTTCCTGTTTCCTGTCTATTGTTCTAATCTGGTCTAGAGTTTGTATTGATGGAGATAGTCCTCCGTGTACACAGAAGATCTGGAGGGAAAGGAGAAAGGAGTAAAGGAGATACAGCGGAAGCCGCTCAAGCCGGACACTTCTGGGTGCTTGTCCAGTTTAAGCGGTGCCCAAATTTAACCAAAGTTCCGTCACCCCTTCCCTCCCAGCAGAGGAGCAGCGGCACCTCCTCCTTCCCATTGCCATTCCCATTGGAGGGAAGGGGACCAATTACTGGTGGCTCCGAGGTGATTGACAGGCTAGAGCCGCCTGTGAATGCTGACTCCAGCCACTCACAAGCAGCTCAGCTGGCAATCAATCCGATTTGCCTCCTCCCATTCCCTCCCTTGTTTCTTCCCCATTCCTCCGCCCCCCTCACTGACTGCCAGCCCAAAGCCGCTCGTGAATGGCTGGAGTCCGCTGTCGATCAATCACAGTTTGACTTCTCTCATCTCCATCCCAGAGCCCCTCGACACACAGTGAGTAGCCACAGCGCTTTCTGTCCAGATGAACCGGATTTTTGTCCAGATTAACTGACATATTTAAAACAGACAAGAAAACAAATGAATCAGGGCCAGGCATTTTATCCGTTTTACCCGGCGTTCTGCTAAAGTGGCTTCCACTGTGTCCTCAACTGTTTAACTGTTTTAAACACCATTTACATCCCGTAAATCCAAACACTCGCGTCTTGAATCCAGTCCTGAGGCATTAGTAAAGGAGTTGGGCATTGCAAGTCAATAATCAATTCTGTAGTCTTCTCGATTCCAACAAGAGTTTATGTTGCTGACCTGCACTCATTAAGAAACAACATTTAGATGCTCCAAAAGGATTTCTTAGAGCTTTAACATACAGCTACATAGAATACTAAATAGTAGAATAGTAGTTTCAATACAGAAACTGGTCCAAGAGTTGAAAGAACACTGCTCTTCTTCATTGTCACATAGTCTAAGAATTTCTTAAGATTTAATTTAAGTTACCAATCGGCTTGGCACAAGTGATTTTCTTGTGATCTTTTTACCTTTCCATCCACAACCGCTGAGAGGCTAAGGTAGTCGAAGATTTCCGTACAATATCTCCATACTGTTATCGATCCATATTTACGAAGGCATTCATCATAAAAGCCATACACCTGTGTAATCTGCCTGCTTTCATGGTTTCCTCTGATCAGTGTGATTCTGTCTGGATACCGTACCT